TTTAGCCATTATAGAGAGTTTGAAACAAGCAGATATGGAGAGTTTAAAAGAAACGAGGGAGAGTTTGAAGTATTATAAAGAGTGAGACGTCTGCATCTTCTCGTTCACAACAAACCCATCTACCCTATCAATTAACCTAATCCAAAGAGCATCTAGGCTTGTCCGGGAGTTACTAGTCATCTTCGTCTTCATTTTCGTCGTCTTCGTCTTCGTCTTCGTCGTCGTTGTTCAGGTCATAGTCCGGGTCGTTCTCCTAGTCGTCCTGGTTATTGTCGTCGTCCGGGTTGTTTTGCTGGGTGTTATTACCGTCGTTCGGGTTGTTGTTGTTGTTGTCAAGGGAAAAACCTCTGAGTTCTCATAGAACAGCTATGCACATGTCTCTTAACATGCGCGGCACCTGATTCGTTATCAAGGCGTCGATAATAGCCACTAACTACAAAATGCAAATAATAGAAATGAGTAGGGGTAAATAGTAAAAACAAATTATTTAACTAAATAATACCTAAAAAATTTGCAACTGCTCAATTGTATTGCACCACCGGCCTAATAGTGGTTGAACAGTCAATGTCTACATACGGCTCTCCATTTTTATTGCTGTAGTTGTAGGATGTAGACGATGGCTAACAAACTGTCTATTTCTTCTCAATAACAATGTAGCCATAAAGTTATTGACTTCTTCCAGAGATAGCGGTAATCTAGCCAATATAGATAGTTTGAAAAATGCAGATACTGAGAGTTTGAAAGAAAGGAGGGAGAGTTTGAAGTATTATAAAGAGTGAGACGTCTGCATCTTCTCGTTCACAACAAACCCATCTACCTTATCAATTAAGCTAATCCAAAGAGAATATAGGCTTGTCCGGGAGTTAGTAGTGATCTTCGTCTTCGTTGTCATCGTCTTCATCTTCGTCGTTGTCATTCAGGTCATGGTCCGGGTCGTCTCTTGGTCGTCCTCGTTATTTTCATCATCCGGGTTGTTCTGCTCAGCGTTATTGCTGCCGTCCAAGTTGATGTTGTTGTTTTCAAGGGAAAAACATCTGAGTTCTCGCATAACAACTATGGACATGTCTCTCAACATGCGCGGCACCTGATTTGGATTCAAGGCGCTGATAATAGTCCCTAACTATAAAATGCAAACAATGGAAATGAGCATAGATAAGTAGTGAAAACAAATTATTTAACTAAACAATACCTAAAAAATTTCCAATTGCTCAATGGTACTGAACCGCCGGCCTAATAGTTGTTGAACAATCAATATCAACATACTCCATTGTTGTCTCTGCAGTTGAAGGATGTAGACGATGACCAATAAACTGTCTATTTCTTCTCAATAACAATGCAGCCATAAAGTTATTAACTTCTTCCCGAGATAGCGGTAACCTAGCCATTATAAAGAGTTTCAAACAAGCAGATATGGAGAGTTTGAAAGAAAGAAAGGAGAGTCTGAAACATTATAAAGAGTGAGACATCTGCATCTTCTCGTTCCCAACCTATCAATTAACCTAATCCAAAGAGCATCTAGGCTTATCCGGGAGTTACTTGTCATCTTCGTCTTCGTCTTCGTCGCGTTCGTTGTCGTCTTTTAGGTCATAGTCTGGGTCGTCCTTCGTTATTGTTGCCGTTCGGGTTGTTCTTCTAGGCGTTATTGCCATCGTCCGGGCTGATGTTGTCGTTTTCAAGGAAAAAACCTCTGAGTTCTCGCAGAACAGCTATGGACATGTCTCTCAACATGTGCAGCACTGATTCGGATTCAAGGCACTGATAATAGTCCCTAACTACAAAATGCAAATAATGGAAATGAGTATGGGTAAGTAGTGATAACAAATTATTTAACTAAACAATAACTCAAAAATTTCTAATAGCTCAATGGTATTGAACCGCCGGCCTAATAGTTGTTGAACAATCAATGTCAACATACGACTCTCCATTCTTATCTCTACAATTGTAGGATGTAGACGATGGCTGATAAACTGTCTATTTCTTCTCAATAACACTGTATCTATAAAGTTATTGACTTCTTCATGAGATAACGATAATCTAGCCATTATAGAAAGTTTGAAACAATCAGATATGGAGAGTCTCAAAGAAAAAAGGGAGAGTTTGAAGTATTATAAAGAGTAAGATGTATGCATCTTCTCGTTCACAACTAACCCATCTACCCTAACAATTAACCTAATCCAAAGAGCGTCTAGGCTTGTTCGGGAGTTACTTGTCACCTTTGTCTTTGTCTTAGTCATCTTCGTTGTCGTCTTTAGGTCATAGTTTGGGTTGTTCTTCGTTATTGATGCCATCCGAGTTGTTCTGCTGGGCTTTATTGCCGCCTTTCGGGTTGATGTTGTCATTGTAAAGGAAAAAATCTCTAAGTTTTTGCAGAACAACTATGGACATGTCTCTCAACATGCGCGGCACCTGATTTGTTGTCAAGGCGTCGATAATAGCCCTAAATACAAAATGAAAATAATGGAAACGAGTAGGGCTAAGTAGTGAAAACAAATTATTTAACTAAACAATACCTCAAAAATTTCTAACTGCTAAATAGTATTGAACTGCTAGCCTAATAGTTGTTGAACAGTAAATGTCAACATACGGCTTTCCATTCTTATCTCTGTAGTTGTAGGATGTAGGCGATGACCGATAAACTGTCTATTTCTTCTCAATAACAATGTAGCCATAAAGTTATTGACGTCTTCTCGAGATAGCGGTAATCTAGCAATTATAAAAGTTTGAAACAAGTAGAAATGGAGAGTTTGAAGTATTATAAAGAGTGAGACGCAACATCTTCTCGTTTATAACAAACCCATCTACCCTATAAATTAACCTAATCTAAAAGGCATTTAGGCCTTTCCGGGAGTTACTAGTCATCTTCATCTTCGTCATCGTCGTCTTCATCGTTGTCGTTCACGTTATAGTCCGGGTTGTTCTCCTGGTCGTCCTCACTATTGTTGTTGTTCGAGTTGCTCTACTGGGCGTTATTACCGTCGTCCGGGTTGATGTTGTGGTTGTCAAGGGAAAAACCTTTGAGCTCTCGTACAATAGCTATAGACATGTCTCTCAACATGCGCGACACCTGATTCGTTGTCAAAGCGCTGATAAAAGCCCCTAGCTACAAAATGCCAATAATGGAAATGAGTATGAGTAAGTAGTGAAAATAAATTATTTAACTAAACAATACCTCAAAAATTTCCAACTGCTCAATGGTACTGAACCGTCGGCCTAATAGTTGTTGAACAGTTTATGTCAACACACGGCTTTCTATTCTTATCTCTACACCTGTAACATGTCGACGATGGCCGATAAACTGTCTATTTCTTCTCAATAACAATATAGCCATAAAGTTATTAACATCTTCCTGAGATAGCGGTAATCTAGCCATTATATAGAGTTTGAAACAAGAGATGCGAATAGTTTGAAAGAAATGAGCGAAAGTTTGAAGTATTATAAAGAGTGAGACGTCTACATCTTTTTGTTCACAACAAACACATCTACCCTATCAATTAACCTAATACAAAGAGCAACTAGGCTTGTCCGGGAGTTACTTGTCATCTTTGTCTTCGTCATCGTCATCGTCATCGTCATCGTCATCGTCATCGTCATCGTCATCGTCATCTTCGTTGTCGTCTTTCAGGTCATAGTCCAGGTCATTCTGCTGGTTGCATTTCGTTATTGCTGCAGTTCAGGTTGTTCTGCTAGGCATTATTGTCATTGTCCGGGTTGATGTCTTCGTTGTCAAGGGAAAAACCTCTAAGCTCTCATAGAACAGTTATGGACATGTCTCTCAACATACGCGACATTTGATTCGTTGTCAAGACGTTAATAATAAATCCTAACTACAAAATGCAAATAATGGAAATGAGTATCGGTAAGTAGTGAAAATATATTATTTAACTAAACAATACCTCAAAAATTTCCAACTGCTCAATAGTACTGAACCGCCAGCCTAATAATTGTTGAACAGTTTATGTCAACATACGGCTTTCTATTCTTATCTCTGCAGCTGTAGGATGTAGACGATGGCCAATAAACTGTCTATTTCTTCTCAATAACAATGTAGCTATAAAGTTGTTGACATCTTCCTGAGATAGCGGTAATCTAGCCATTATATAGAGTTTGAAACAAACAGATATGGAGAGTTTGAAGGAAAAGAGCAAAAGTTTGAAGTATTATAAAGAGTGAGACGTTTGCATCTTCTTGTTCACAACAAACCCATCTACTCTATCAATTAACCTAATCCAAATAGCATATAGGCTTGTCCGGGAGTTACTTGTCATCTTTGTCTTTGTCTTCGTCGTCGTCGTTGTCGTTTTTCAGGTCATAGTCCGGGTCATTCTGCTGGTCGTCCTTCGTTATTGTTGCCGTCCGGGTTATTCTGCTAGGCGTTATTGCCGCCATCCGGGTTGATGTTGTCGTTGTTAAGGGAAAAACCTCTGAGTTCTCGCAGAACCGCTATGGACATGTCTCTCAACATGCGCAACACCTGATTCATTTTCAAGACGCTAATAAAAGCCTCTAACTATAAAATTCGAATAATGGAAATGAGTATGGGTAAGTAGTGAAAATAAATTATTTAACTAAACAGTACCTAAAAAATTTCCAACTGCTCAATGGTACTGAACCACCAGCCTAATAGTTGTTGAACAGTTTATGTCAACATACGACTTTCTATTCTTATCTCTGTAGTTGTAGGGTGTAGAAGATGGCCGATAAACTGTCTATTTCTTCTCAATAACAATGCAGCCGTAAAGTTATTAACATCTTCCTGAGATAGCGGTAATCTAGCCATTATATAGAGTTTGAAACAAGAGATATGGAGAGTTTGAAAGAAATGACCGAAAGTTTGAAGTATTATAAAGAGTGAGACGTCTGCATCTTCTTGTTCACAACAAACCCATCAACCCTATCAATTAACCTAATCCAAAGAGCATCTAGGGTTGTCCGGGAGTTACTTGTCATCTTTGAGTTCGTCTTCGTCGTCATCGTCGTCGTCTTTCAAGTCATAGGCCAGGTCATTTTGCTGGTCGTCCTTCATTTTTAATGCCGTCCGAGTTGTTCTGCTGGGCGTTATTGGCGCCGTTCGGGCTGATGTTGTCGTTGTCAAGGGAAAAACCTCTAAGTTCTCGCAGAATAGCTATGGACATGTCTCTCAACATGCGCGGCACCTGATTCGTTGTCAAAGCGCTGATAAAAACCCCTAACTACAAAATACAAATAATGGAAATGAGTATGGGTAAGTAGTGAAAATAAATTATTTAACTAAGCAATACCTCAAAAATTTCCAACTGTTTAATAGTACTGAACCGCTAGCCTAATAGTACTGAATCGCAAGCCTAATAGTTGTTGAACAGTTTATGTCAACATACGACTTTCTAATCTTATCTCTACAGCTGTAGGATGTAAACGATGGCCGATAATTTGTCTATTTCTTCTCAATAACAATGTAGTCACAAAGTTATTGACATCTTCCTGAGATAGCGGTGATCTAGTCATTATATAGAGTTTGAAACAAGCACATATGGAGAGTTTGAAAGAAAAGAGCGAAAGTTTCAAGTATTATAAACAGTGAGACGTCTGCATCTTCTTGTTCACAACAAACCCATCTACCCTACCAATTAACCTAATCCAAAGAGCATCTAGGCTTGTTCGGGAGTTACTTCTCATCTTTGTCTTCGTCTTCGTCGTCTTCGTTGTCGTCTTTCAGGTCATTGTCCAGGTAATTCTGCTGGTCGTCTTTCGTTATTGTTTTCGTTCGGGTTGTTCTGCTGGACATTATTGCCACTGACCGGGTTGATGTTGTCATTGTCAAGGGAAAAATCTTTGAGTTCTCGTAAAACAGCTATGGACATGTCTCCCAACATGCGCTGCACCTGATTCGTTGGCAATGCCCTGAATAAAGCCCCTAACTACAAAACGCAAATAATAGAAATGAGTATGGGTAAGTAGTGAAAATAAATTATTTAACTAAACAATACCTCAAAAATTTCCAACTGCTCAATGGCACTGAACCGTTGGCCTAATAGTTGTTGAACAGTTCATGTTTCTTATCTCTGCAGTTGTAGGATGTAGACGATGGCCGATAAACTATCTATTTCTTCTCAATAACAATGTAACCATAAAGTTATTAACATCTTCCTGAGATAGCGGTAATCTAGCCATTATATAGAGCTTGAAACAAGAGATATGGAGAGTTTGAAACAAGAGATATGGAGAGTTTGAAAGAAATGAGCGAAAGTTTGAAGTATTATAAAGAGTGAGACGTCTGCATCTTCTTGTTCACAACAAACCCATCTACCCTATCAATTAACCTAATCCAAAGAGCATCTAGGCTTGTCCGTGAGTTACTTGTCATCTTTGTCTTCGTCTTCCTTGTCTTCGTTGTCGTCTTTCAGGTCATAGTCCGGGTTATTCTGCTGGTTGTCGTTTGGGTTGTTCTGCTGGGCATTATTGTTGTTGTCCGGGTTGATGTCTTCGTTGTCAAGGGAAAAACCTCTGAGTTCTCGCAGAACAGCTATGGACATGTCTCTCAAATGCGCGACACTTGATTCATTGTCAAGGCGCTGATAAAAGCCCATAACTATAAAATGCAAATAATGAAAGTGAGTATGGGTAAGTAGTGAAAATAAATTATTTAACTAAACAATACCTCAAAAATTTTCAACTGCTCAATGGTACTGAACCGCCGGCCTAATAGTTGTTGAACAGTTGATGTTTCTTATTTCTATAGCTGTAGGATGTAGACGATGGCCGAGAAATTGTTTATTTCTTCTCAATAACAATGTAGCCATAAAGTTATTGACATCTTCCTGAGATAGTGGTAATCTAGCCATTATATAGAGTTTGAAACAAGAGATATGGAGAGTTTGAAAGAAATGAGCGAAAGTTTGAAGTATTATAAAGAGTGAGACGTCTGCATCTTCTTGTTCACAACAAACCCATCTACCCCATCAATTAACCTAATCCAAAGAGCATCTAGGCTTGTCCGGGAGTTACTTGTCATCTTTGTCTTCGTCTTCGTCGTCGTCGTTGTCGTTTTTCAGGTCATAGTCCGGGTCATTCTGCTGGTCGTCCTTCGTTATTGTTGCCGTCCGGGTTATTCTGCTAGGCGTTATTGCCGCCATCCGGGTTGATGTTGTCGTTGTTAAGGGAAAAACCTCTGAGTTCTCGCAGAACCGCTATGGACATGTCTCTCAACATGCGCAACACCTGATTCATTTTCAAGACGCTAATAAAAGCCTCTAACTATAAAATTCGAATAATGGAAATGAGTATGGGTAAGTAGTGAAAATAAATTATTTAACTAAACAGTACCTAAAAAATTTCCAACTGCTCAATGGTACTGAACCACCAGCCTAATAGTTGTTGAACAGTTTATGTCAACATACGACTTTCTATTCTTATCTCTGTAGTTGTAGGGTGTAGAAGATGGCCGATAAACTGTCTATTTCTTCTCAATAACAATGCAGCCGTAAAGTTATTAACATCTTCCTGAGATAGCGGTAATCTAGCCATTATATAGAGTTTGAAACAAGAGATATGGAGAGTTTGAAAGAAATGACCGAAAGTTTGAAGTATTATAAAGAGTGAGACGTCTGCATCTTCTTGTTCACAACAAACCCATCAACCCTATCAATTAACCTAATCCAAAGAGCATTTAGGCTTGTCCGGGAGTTATTTGTCATCTTTGTCTTTGTCTTCGTCTTCATTGTCGTCTTTTAGGTCATAGTTCTGGTCATTATATTGGTCGTCCTTCGTTATTGTTGTCGTTCGGGTTGTTCTACTGGGCGTTATTGCCGCTGTCCGGGTTGATGTTATTGTTGTCAAGGGAAAAGCCTCTGAGTTCTCGTATAACAACTATGGACATGTCTCTCAACATGCGCGGCACCTGATTCATTGTCAAGGCGCTGATAAAAGCCCATAGCTACAAAATGCAAATAATGGAAATGAGTATGGGTAAGTAGTGAAAATAAATTATTTAACTAAACAATACCTCAAAAATTGAGATAGCGGTAATCTAGCCATTATATAGAGTTTGAAACAAGAGATGTGGAGAGTTGGAAAGAAATGAGCAAAAGTTTGAAGTATTATAAAGAGTGAGACGTCTGCATCTTCTTGTTCACAACAAACCCATCTGCCCCATCAATTAACCTAATCCAAAGAGCATCTAGGCTTGTCCGGGAGTTACTTGTCATCTTTGGCTTCGTCTTCGTCGTCTTCGTTATCGTCTTTCAAGTCATAGTCCGGGTCATTCTACTGGTCGTCCTTCGTTATTGTTGTCGTTCGGGTTGTTCTGCTGGGCGTTATTGCCACCATCCGGGTTAATGTTGTCGTTGTCAAGGGAAAAGCCTCTGAGTTCTCGCAGAACAGTTATGGACATGTCTCTCAACATGCACGACAGTTGATTCGTTGTCAAGGCGCTGATAAAAGCCCTTAACTACAAAATGCAAATAATGGAAATAATTATGGGTAAGTAGTGAAAATAAATTATTTAACTAAACAATACCTTAAAAATTTTCAACTGCTCAATGGTACTCAACCGCCGGCCCAATAGTTGTTGAACAGTTTATGTAAACATACGACTTTCTATTCTTATCTCTGCAGCTGTGGGATGTAGACGATGGCTGATAAACTGTGTATTTCTTCTCAATAACAATGTAGCCATAAAGTTATTAGCATCTTCCTGAGATAGCTGTAATCAAGCCATTATATAGGGTTTGAAACAAGAGATATGGAGAGTTTGAAAGAAATGAGTGAAAGTTTGAAGTATTATAAAGAGTGAGACGTCTGCATCTTCTTGTTCACAACAAACCCATCTACCCTATCAATTAACCTAATCCAAAGAGCATCTTAGCTTGTCCGGGAGTTACTTGTCATCTTTGTCTCCGTCTTCGTCTTCGTCGTCTTCGTTGTTGTCTTTCAGGTCATAGTCCGGGTCATTCTGCTGGTCGTCCTTCGTTATTGCTGCCGTTGGGTTGTTCTGCTGGGCATTATTGTCACTGTTCAGGTTGATGTCTTCGTTGTCAAGGGAAAAACCTCTGAGTTCTCGCAGAACAGTTATGGACATGTCTCTCAACATGCGCGGCATTTGATTCGTTGTCAAGGCGCTGATAAAAGCCCCTAACTACAAAATGCAAATAATGGAAATGAGTATGGGTAAGTAGTGAAAATCAATTATTTAACTAAACCATACCTCAAAAATTTCCAACTACTCAATGGTACTGAACCGCCGGCCTAATAGTTGTTGAACAGTTTAAGTCAACATATGACTTTCTATTCTTATCTCTGCAGCTGTAGGATGTAGACGATGGTCGATAAACTGTCTATTTCTTCTCAATAACAATGTAGCCATAAAGTTATTAATATCTTCCTGAGATAGCGGTAATCAAGCCATTATATAGAGTTTGAAACAAGAGATATGGAGAGTTTGAAAGAAATGAGCGAAAGTTTGAAGTATTATAAAGAGTGAGACGTCTGCATCTTCTTGTTCACAACAAACCCATCTAACCTATCAATTAACCTAATCCAAAGAGCATTTAGGCTTGTTCGGGAGTTGCTTGTCATCTTTGTCTTCATCTTCGTTGTCGTCTTTCAGGTCATAGTCCGGGTCATTCTACTGGTCGTCCTTTGTTATTGTTACCGTTCGGGTTGTTCTGTTGGGCGTTATTGCCGCTGTCCGTGTTGATGTTGTCGTTGTCAAGGGAAAAACCTCTGAGTTCTAGTAGAACAGCTATGGACATATCTCTCAACATGCGCTGCACTTGATTTGTTGTCAAGGCGCTGATAAAAGCCCATAACTACAAAATACAAATAATGGAAATGAGTATGGGTAAGTAGTGAAAATAAATTATTTAACTAAACAATACCTAAAAAATTTCTAACTGCTCAATGGTACTGAACCGCCGGCTTAATAGTTGTTGAACAGTTGATTTTTCTTATCTCTGCAGCTGTAGGATGTAGACGGTGGCTGATAAACTGTCTATTTCTTCTCAATAACAATGTATCCATAAAGTTTTTGACATCTTCCTAAGATAGCGGTAATCTAGCCATTATATAGAGTTTGAAACAAGAGATATGAAGAGTTTGAAAGAAATGAGCGAAAGTTTGAACTATTATAAAGAGTGAGACGTCTGTATCTTCTTGTTCATAACAAACCCATCTGCCCTATCAATTAACCTAATTCAAAGAGCATCTAGGCTTGTACGGGAGTTACTTGTCATCTTTGTCTTCGTCTTCGTTGTGGTCTTTCAGGTCATAGTTCGGGTCATTCTGCTAGTCATCCTTCGTTATTGTTGCCGTTCGGGTTGTTCTGCTGGGCGTTATTGCCGCCGTCCAGGTTGATGTTGTCGTTGTCAAGGGAAAAACCTCTGAGTTCTCGCAGAACATTTATGGACATGTTTCTTAACATGCGCGGCACCTGATTCATTGTCAAGGTGCTGATAAAAGCCCTTAACTAAAAACTGCAAATAATGGAAACGAGTATGAGTAAGCAGTGAATATAAATTATTTAACTAAACAATACCTCAAAAATTTGCAACTACTCAATGGTACTGAACCGCCGGCCTAATAGTTGTTGAACAGTTTATGTCAACATACGGCTTTCTATTCTTATTTCTGCAGCTGTAGGATGTAGACGATGGCTGAAACTGTGTATTTCTTCTCAATAACAATGTAGCTATAAAGTTATTAACATCTTCCTGAGATAGCTGTAATTAAGCCATTATATAGAGTTTGAAACAAGAGATATAGAGAGTTTGAAAGAAATGAGCGAAAGTTTGAAGTATTATAAAGAGTGAGACGTCTGCATCTTCTTGGTCACAACAAACCCATCTACCCTATCAATTAACCTAATTCAAAAAGCATCTAGGCTTGTCTAGGAGTTACTTGTCATCTTTGTCTTCCTCTTCGTTGTCGTCTTTCAGGTTATAGTCTGGGTCATTCTGCTGGTCGTCCTTCGTCATTGTTGCCGTTCGGGTTGTTCATCTGGGCGTTATTGCCGCTATCTGGGTTGATGTTGTCGTTGTCAAGGGAAAAACCTCTGAGTTCTCGCAGAACAGCTATGGACATGTCTCTCAACATACGCGGTACCTGATTCGTTGTCAAGGCGCTGATAAAAGCCCCTAACTACAAAATGTAAATAATGGAAATGAGTCGGGGTAAGTAGTGAAAATAAATTATTTAACTAAACAATACCTCAAAAATTTCCAATTACTCAATGGTACTGAACCGCCGGCCTAATAGTTGTTGAACTGTTTACGTCAACATACGGCTCTCTATTCTTATCTCTGCAGTTGTAGGATGTAGACGATGGCCGATAAACTGTCTATTTCTTCTCAATAACAATGTATCCATAAAGTTATTGACTTCTTCTCGAGATAGCGGTAATCTAGCCATTATATATTGTTTGAAACAAGCAGATATGAAGAGTTTGAAAGAAATGTGGGAAAGTTTGAAGTATTATAAAAGTGAGACGTTTGCATCTTCTCGTTCACAACAAACCCATCTACCCTATCAATTAACGTAATCCAAAGAGCATCTAGGTTTGTCCGGGAGTTACTTATCATCTTTGTCTTCATCTTCGTCTTCGTCGTCATCTTTCAGGTCATAGTCCAGGTCATTCTGTTGATCGTCCTTCGTTATTGCTATCATCCGGGTTGTTCTTCTAGTTGTTATTGCCGTCGTCCGGGTTGATGTTGTCGTTGTCAAGGGAAAAACCTCTGAGTTCTCGCAGAACAGTTATGGACATGTCTCTTAACATGCGCAGCACCTGATTCGTTGTCAAGGCGCTGATAAAAGCCCCTAACTACAAAATGCAAATAATGGAAATGAGTATGAGTAAGTAGTGAAAATAAATTATTTAACTAAACAATACCTCAAAAATTTCCAACTGCTCAATGGTACTGAACCGCCGGCCTAATAGTTGTTGAACAGTTAATGTCGACATACGGCTTTCCATTCTTATCTCTGTAGTTGTAGGATGTAGATGATGGTCAATGAATTGTCTATTTCTTCTCAATAACAATGTAGCTTTTAAGTTATTGACTTCTTCCCGAGATAGCGGTAATCTAACCATTATAGAGAGTTTGAAACAAGTAGATATGGAGAGTCTGAAGTATTATAAAGA